ACAGAGTAGGCAAAGGCGTGCGAGTGCACTACACTCCACCACAATCTCGTGTACTTTTGAGCAGAGTTGGTGGCATTCAGCTGCGGATCCACGTTCAATTGAGAAGCTCGTATCTGTGACAGTGTTTTTTTCATAACACCGGCAGAGTAAAGTCGTGTTCTTGAGTAATTTTAATAGTCTCGGGGATTTGTAGTAGCACACCAACGCATGCATCAAATATACAAATAGATGAGTAGGTTGATGCGTAATTTTTTTCTTTTGCTCTAGCGCCATGTTTTGCGATTGCTGCTTTATCACAAAACGACTACAGACCATTCACTGATAGGAAATCTTGTACTACACGTCGCGATGCTGCCACTGGCCTTACTGGTAGTGTTCTTACTAAATGGAGGTAAGTGTTCTCCTTAGACATATCTACAGTTTTAGAGAATAAACTCGTAGAATATATAAAATATACCCACGATGACATGGGGGGTTGTACAACCTCTTTGAACCAAAAACATTTCAACAGCTTTGATTTCACCTTTAGAAACCTTGTGCAAATATACAGTCCCTAACTGCATGGAACTTGTTCAAAAAGAACTCATCTTTAGCTACCTTTAGGAATCGCAATTCACAATGTTTTTCATTACTAGTTCGATGATAAAATCGGAGAACAAGGTCTTATCAGCCCGTTTTCAGCAGCAGCGACTTCCAGCGAATGCAAGCAATGCAAATTTGCCGTTGAGCTCTTGCACGACGCTTGGGGTGACAAGACGACAGAAGAATGCGTTGGTAAGTGTCAGCCTGCATTAGTTAAGACATCTTATGACATGTACCTTTGAGCTGAATAAAAAAATTCAGCATTACCCATTGTGACTATGGTAATGCTGTCCCTTCCATGGAATTGGACTTTCGGTACCAACCACTGCATGCCTGAACATTTATTGAGCACCAGAGCAGTGTTAGCTGTAGACAATCTAAAGTTGAAGGCTCACTGAATGCTGGTCCTTGCTTTAGTCTTAAAGGCGTTGGCAAGATAAATCTACAAGACGAGTAGGATAAATACGGCAGGCAAGAAAGAATTTCCGCACCTCTGAGAGGCGCATTTTCCAAGGAAGGCACCCTTATGAGGCCCTATCGAGCTGCAACATACCG